GGACCCGCAGGAGCCAGGGGACGAGTTCTTCAACATGCTCATTAAGTGCCAGGTGGGGCTGCGGGGGGCCCGACTGGGGGGCTTCGGGGCCCCCACTGCAGGCCGTGTCTCAGGGGCACCCCGGGGGAAGCACACCAGTGGGGAGGGCCACTGGATGTCCATGGGTCCCAAGACCTGGAGCCCCCTTTGCTGGGAGCTGGTAACCTGCTGGACAGGCTACCCTCCCACCAGAAGGCAGCCCTGGGACAGCCACAGGCGTTCTGCAGCTCAGGGCTCGGAGGCCTCCAGGTCCCGCGGGCTGGGGCCTCCAGACCCTAGGGGTCTGCCCAGCCTTCCACATCCGGGCTCCGGACACTAAGGGCATATGGCACCCAGAGTGGGAGGGCAGGGAGAGTCTAGGCAGGCCAACGCAGTGGACGGTGAGGACCAAGCCGCGTCTCAAAGCAAGAGGGGCAGGGCAGGGGCCGCAAGCAGCCTCACCAGCAGGTGGGCAGGAAGATCTGAGCCACCCCCGCCAAGGTGGGTCTAGAAACCTGCCAGTGGGGCAGGCAGTGGCCTACTCCCTGCACCCCGCTAGAATGTCCATCCCCACAGAGGAGAGGACAAGGCTCCCGATGAGCCACCTCAAAAGCAGCCCGTCTGCATGCATGCATGGGGCAGCAGCCACCAGCCCCTGCTCCTCCTGCTCCGGGCCCTACAGAGACGCTTGGGCACCCCCACAGGCCCCTGACTGCCACACTGGGGAAGGCAGCGCTCACAGGGCCACCCTGGGGGTGTGGGGGCCTCACTGCAGGCTCCGTGGGCTGAGCCCCCAGGCCCACTGAGGGCAAGTGCGGAGGCACAGCCACGCTTGGGAGGTCCCTGGGATTACCAGGTCTCGGGCACAGACCCCGGAGGTGGCCTGGGCCTGGCTTCTCACCCCACCACGCTGCAGGCCTCGTGGTGGGCAGCTCCGCACAGGCCCCAGAGCTGACCGGGAAGGGCACGGCCACCAACCACACGTGTGTGCCCAGTCCTCCAGGATTGATGACCAGCGCTGCCCGCCACCTGACCTGCTGCCCCGAGGCCCCACCATGCCGGATGAGGACTTCTTCAGCCTTATCCAGAGGGTGCAGGCCAAGCGGATGGACGAGCAGCGTGTGGACCTCGCCGGGAGCCCGGAGCAGGAGGCAGGCGTGCTGCCCGAGGACCAGCAGCAGTACCAGTCTGGTGCCAGCTAAGGCCTCGTGCCCACAGTCAGGCCCACCCCACCCCCAGTTCTGAATACCAGGGGCCCCTAAATGTCCACGATGCCTGTAGTCCCTGAAGAAGCTGGGCCCTGAGCCAGGGCTGCCAGCACATTCTGGCCCTGGCCCTTCCCGCCGAGCCAGCCACTGGGCAGTGTCCGCACAGCAGCCCGCCCTGGGAGGAGGCTCCCGCCAGCGCTGCCCTTTGGGAGAAGCTGTGCTCCCATCCTGGGCTGGCGCCACGTGCTCCATGGCTTCCTGTAGGCCCTCTCTGCCTCACCCCTGCCCCAGGCTGGGCCAGGCCTTCACCATGTCAGCCCCAAACCCTGGTGCTGCCCAGACCCAGTGCTCTCCCCCTGAACCCCCATGTTGCCCTGCCCTGCCCTGCCCTGCCCTGCCCTGCCAATGTGAAACCCTGCTGTCTCTCCCAAGCCCCCAAAAGTCTGGAGGCTGCTGGTGACACAGGCACGTTGTCCCCAGAACTGGTCCCAGGATGGCTGCCCAGCCTCTGTCCTCCAGGACAGGGCACCCTCCCAACCTCCCCCAACTCAGGCCGAAGCCCAAGCAGGCCTGAGGCGCCCACCAGGGGCCAGAGCAGAGGGGACAAAAGGGCACAGATTCCAACGCGGCCAAGCTCCGAGCCTTTAACCCCAGCAAGTTCCTGGCCAGTGGGACCTGGTCTGAGGGCCGCTGGCCTCAAGCCTGAACCCCCCAGGGGGCGACGGGTCCCAGCCACTGCCCCAGTTTGGGGGTTAGTGGGCGTTGAAAGGGTACCTGCAACTGGCCCTCTGGACCCTAGGTGAGCACTCCCGCCGAGCACCCCCGCCCCCCACCAGCTGGGAGAGTGCCGCCGCCTCCTCCCCAGGAGGAAGGCCCTGCTCTGCCGGCTCGGAACCCTGAGACTTGGACGGGACCTGCTAGAGCCCCCATAGGATGGTGCCTCCAAGCCCGGGGAGCAGCTCTCCTGTCCCCCTGGAGTATAGCCCGGGAGCCAGCGAGAGCCTTTCAGACGAGGGGCAACCCCGCCAGGAGGGCAGGGCAGATGCAGTACTGGGCCCTGTGCCCCCATACTTGAATGTACAGGCATATTTATTGCTCACGTGGGTGTGCCCTGTGGGCGGTGGGGCCCCCCCAAACCTGCGGCACGTCTGTTCTTCCCGCAGAATAAAGTCCACCAAGTGAGTGCTGGCCCTGGTCTGACCGCCCTCAGGACCCTGCAGAAGTGCACCCCCCTGGGGCCTCGGGGGCTGGGGTTCAGGGTCGTGTCTCCCCTGCCACTGGGGCCTGACCTCCCAGGCCAGCACCCCACCCACTGGCTCCCACAGCCCCTCCCTTGCCCAAACCTCCTGGGAACAAGGGTGGGGCCCCTGTCCTGAGCAGCCCGGCCCTGGTCAGTCTGGCCCTGTCCAGCCTTGCTCATTCCAGGAGTCCGATTTGACAGGGATCTGGGTCCGGCCAGCCAGGGTGGCCTTGCAGGGCAACAAGGTGGGCCTCTGAGCAGAGTGGTGGGCACAGGGGCGGGGCCCCCACTCACTGGTCAGTGCCCTGCAGCTGAGCAGCCAGCCAGGTGGAGCTGGGCAGAGCACAGAGTGGCTGGCCCCCGACCTGGGCTGCAGCCCAAGGCTGGTCTGGCCACACTGGCTGCCCGTGTCAGCATGCCTGAGCCCACCAGGGCACCCACCACACGCCTGACGGCAGTTGACTACCAACCTCCACCCCAGGAAAGGCTGTCCTGGGGACTGGGGCACCGTACCCTCCGCGCAGCCAGGAGACAGACTGTGGGGCTGCCCAGTGGATGCGGCCCTTACCCTAGACTGGCAGCCACCCTGGCAAAAGGACGAGGGTCTGGGAGCCAAGCTGGAGCACCAGCCCGAGTGCGACGCAGCGGGGACAGTGGGGATCCGGAGGCTAGCAGAAGACAGGCCTGGGAGGCAGGGTGCAGAGACAGGCTAGGGTACAGCCCTTTCCTGGAGCCCAGCAAGGGCGAGCTGGCCATGGCAGCCAGGCCCAAGATGGCCAGGAGCAAGGGGAGGTGGGTGGGGCGCCCGTGCAGGGAGGCACCTGGCTGGGGGCTGCCCTGGGGGTTTAGTGACCAGGCGGGGAGCCTCGTGTCCTGAGGGAGACCACCACGGGACGCATGCCCACGCTCCCTCGCCCCGTCAGACACGTGTCCCATGCTCCTTGGCCTAAATGCCCAGAACAGGGCCTCGGTAGCTCCCGTGGACCAGCTGGGGAAAGTGCTGGTCCCAGAAGCACAGGGCAAGGAGGGGGGGGCCAGATACACGATTCCGATCTGCCCCTGGAGAGGAGCCTGGCTTGGGGCAGGGAGACGGCCCAGGGAGAGGAGAGCCCCGTGTTGCACTGCCAAGGCTGCTCCAGCTGCAGTGGGGCCGAGGCCGGCACGCTGCAGAAGCCTGTGACATGGCTGTGTGGTTTTATTACCAGCAGTTGTGGTGAGGCCACTGAAAAGAAGGGCCAAGAGGCAAGGCTGGCCAGGCCAGGGACAAGCCGAATAGCCCAGGGTGGGTCAGGAGAGGGGATGGGCCAGAGGCCTTCACTGTGGTTCCCAACGAGGGGAGGGACGAGGGCATCAGCTCAGGGCTGGCGGGTCCCAGGACTCTGCAGGCTCTGGGCACACAGCTCTGCCCGGCTGACACTCGGCCCTGGGGTGACCAGGACAGGGGCAGTGGCCCAGAATGTGGGGGCCCACAGAGGAGGGGCTGGGCCTTGCGCTCTGGTGGGCAGGTCTGTGTTTGAAATGCAGGGCCTGGGGGGGGTTTCGCCATCTCTAGAAGCTGGCCAGCCAGGAGGCAGGACCCGGGTGTCAGATGTTGGGACACGGCCCAGACCCAGCTGCCACATCTCAGCGGCCTCAGTCCCCCACAGGCAAGCTGGCTGGGCAGCTCTCCGGGACCGGGGCCCACCAGGGCTTTCAGGCTGTCCAGGTCCCTATGCCTCCCCAAAGGCTGGCTCACCCCCAGTAACCAGGCCAGGGCCCACTTTGCTGGCTGGCTGCACTCCAGGCCCCTGGAGCCGTTGGTCCCCGCAGATGCAGAGGGGGCCTGGAAGGCCTGGGTGTGGGGCTGGCTCAGCTCCAGGTCGTTTCCAGATGACATAGGAGGCTCTGGGCAGGCATGAGGGAGGCTGTTCGCTGAGGAAGGATGGGGTGAGTGAGGCCCGGCATGCACTGTAGCGTCCCTAGATGGTGCTGAGGTGCCCAGCCTCCCACACCAACACGCACTGGCAACCCCAGCTTGGGGTCCACGGGACAGGCTGTACCAAGCCGTCTCCCACTCTCTGCCTGCCAGTCTGACGGGTGTCCAATGCTGGTGGCCAGAATGCCCTGGAAACACACACCCCGTGCTGGTTGGCCTCGCCACCACGCGCACGGACTCGAGGCTAGGGGACGAACAGCACACACAGCGCAAGGGCACTTTTTGCTGCTGTTTGTCTGAGGCCCTGGGCACATCCTTGGCATGACAAGGCCCAGGCAGCTCCCCGTGGGGTTCTCAGCTCCCATGGACACCCCCAGGGTCGACCTCAGAGCTGAGGCCCTGGCTCACGGAGGGGGTGCATGGTGCTGTCCAGGGGAGCTGACTGACCTGTGCAAGGTCACATAGCCACAGCAGGAGGTTGCCTCTGTGCCCTGGCCACTGGATTTGGCCCTGCCAAGGCAGGTGCAAGGTGGCGCTTCAGCGGGAACAGGAGGCCCTACCAGCAGCACCTGGGGATGCGTGGGACCTGTCTGCCTGTAGGAAGAAGCAGCACGAAGCATGAGGGCACGGCAGCCGTTTATTGGTGGAGGCTGACTGCGGGGCAGGGCCAGTGGCCTTTCCAGTCCAGGGCCCAGTGGTGCACGGGGTCAGCTCCGCCCTGCCTTGCCAGGGTCCTCACTCCCTTCTGGAGCAGCAGTGGATCCGGGGGCCCCTGCAGCTTCCAAAGTCACTTCCAAGGCCCCCTCGCTGGCCACCCTGCGCACCTCCTCCCCTCTGGCTGCCAGGATCTCTTCAACGTTCCTGGGAGACAGGAAGCAGCATTACTGCCCAGGCCCCCAGGCGCCTCCACGCCCGTGTCTCTGCCAGGAAGTGGCAGGTCAGGAGGCCAGAGGAAAAGTGGCCACATCTCAAGCCACAGGGCGTCCACCAAGCAGGCACCTGGCCTGGCCTTTCGCTAGGTGGCCACTCCCCATGGGTCCGGAGTGGGGAGCCCGCCTCTGCAGCAGCAGGCAGGCCCCCAGCCCATGTCCCTCCTCCCAGGACCCTCTCACGGCTCCGTAGGCTGTGTGGCCCTGCCCCTGCCCCTCCGTGGGTGAGGGCTAAGCCTCATCACCACCTCCACCACCCTCCCGGGAGCCAGGAGGCTGCCCCACAACGGGGTGACCGGGTGTCGGAAAGGACAGAGCCAGGCAGTACGGCAGGGGTGAGACAGCAAACAGAAGGAAGCAGGCCCCACATCTGGGCCACGTGAACTCTGCAAAGTGCCCCCTGGTGTTCTTGGCATTCTGATTTCGGTCTGCACGGAAGAGGAAGCTAGAAGGTGTGCCTGCCGGGCTCCCACACCAGGCAGTGGGTGCCCAGGGAGGCTTGGGCACCCCACTGCTGGCTCCAGCCCAGCACATGCCAGCCGAGCCCAGGGCACAGGCCTCCCACCCCCCCCCCCCCCAGGGGGCCTCACCTCTTCCCATCCAGGTCTGAGAACCAGCCCAGGTTATCAGCGATGATGTGATGGTTCTGGCAGCCGGGACAGGTCACAATGACCACACCCTGGTGGTAAGCCAGCTTGGAGATGCGCTTGGAGGACCGACAGCCACAGACCTGGCCAGGAGTTGGTGGGGCTGAAGCCGGCCCAGCCAGGCCCCAGGAAGGCCCCGCCCCTGAGGCGTAGCCCCTCCCACCACGGCAACTGCGGAAGGCCCCGCCCCCAGGACAGCCCCTCCCGCCCAACCCTCCGGAAGGCCCGCCCCCTGGGGAACCGCTCCGCCCTTCCCGGTCTCCACCTGTGCCCCCCAGGAAGACCCCGGCCCTCGGGTTCGCGCTAGCCCAGGGACGCCCCGCTCCTCGCGTGGGTCCGACGCCGCCTCCGCGCCCACCTTGCAGGTGTAGACCAGCTGGTAGTGCAGTGCCTCCGCGCGCCCTAGCG